CCTTACATTTTTTAAAAAGGTAAGAAAGTCGTTACTCTTATTTTATTCCGGGTTGTTATTGTTTTTTAAAAATACTGTCCTGATAAATTGTGTCTCCTGGATAGAGTGAATTTATTTGTGGTTGGATGAGAGGTATAAATATATACCATTCTTACACCGCATTACTTTGTACACAGTCCATCACAGCTGTACGCTGTTAGAAAAAATACTTTTTTGAGAAGTCACCTCCCAATAAATGTCATTTTGTAAAATCTAACTGCTCACTTTTACTCAGTACTTTTACTTTTAATACTTAAGTAGATTTTGTGTCAGAAATTTACTTTTGATACTTAAGTGGGTGCAGGGTGGGGGCGGGTGGCACAGAGGGTAGAGAAGCCAAGTCTGTGATCGGAAGGTCACCAGTTCGACTCCCCACAGACCAACCAGCCCCACCCTGGGCCCTTGAGCAAGGCCCTCAACCCCCCAGCTGCTCCCTGGGCGCTGTAATTGGCCGCTCACGTGTGCGATGGGTAAAATGCAGAGACTTAATTTCCCCACCAGGGGATCAATATAGTGTATAAAAAGTACAAAAATTATCAGATACTTTAAGACTTTTACTCAAGTAATACTTTTAGAGAAGATTTTAACTTTTACCAAAGTGCCACAGCAGCAGGGAAGATGACTTGTACTTTTACTCAAGTATCACTTTGAGGTACTTTATACAACACTGGTAGCAAGTGATGGTCCATCCCTTGATTATTAGCACACGTCACACAGTCTCACAAAATTGCCTGAGTTTGTGTTTATCATCTTTTACAAGGTTTAGCCAGAACAGGTTTCTCTGGTGTTGGTAAATCTATAAGGTGATCTCAGTCTAAATCTCTGATATATAAGTCAACAAGGCTTTAATGTTAGATTGTTTCTCAGCTTCAATTCTTCTAAGATTTTACCTGTTTTTGTTTTTGCACAAAGAGCGCCCTCTGCTGGTTGACATATTAAAATGCCAGCAGGATTGTGTAAAACTTCCACTTGATTAACATATAAATATTCATATTCATTAAAAAATTGTAATTTATTTTTTTTAACACCTGTTAACTTTACATTTGAATGATATTCTCTTTTGAAGAGCTTTATTTAAAGCTCTTCCTGCAAGTTTCAGACAGAATGAAGGATTAGTAGTACACCCACGCAGGATGCTGGGATGCAGCTAAAAGAGAAGCATTCATAGAGGGTCAGCACCTGAACAGGGCCAGAGGAACAATGTTTCTGTTAATGTCTGTAATTTCTGAGATGGATCAGAGCAAACAGTCTGTTAAAGACGCTTCATGAAGTCCAACAACACACAGCTCCACTCCATGCTTTTGTCAGCTTTTATTTTTAAAAGTAGAAGAACATATTTTACATATATAAAGACCTGAGAATGCCACAAGGGCAGATATTAATGCATCATTACAATAAAATAAGTAAGAATTCTATATGAGCTCTATGTAGGGCAGACCGGGGACAGTAGCAACAAGGGACGGTTGCAACATGTTAAATTTTCTCCAAACAGAAACAGAGTGATGACACTCACACTGTACATGCTCAGTTAGATGTCCCACCTTGGAAAGAAAAAGTCAACAGARTCAAAAACTGATCCAGGATTTATTTAAAAAAACAGTTTTTGAGGAACAAAGTATTTTTTTACCCAGTTTTATTTTTGTTAAACTGTTGTCACTGTTTTTGTG